CACACTGATATTAAAGCACATTACTGGGCCTCAGTGCTGGACTTCCTAATTCCATAAATCTAAGGACTTGCATATCTAACAGGCTCTTAGATGACACTGATGTTGCTTATCTGGGAACACACTTTCGAAAACCATTAGCCTTGGGTACAGTCTTTCAAGAACAGTTAGGACTCTGACATTAAAAAAAAATATCTGTTGAATCAGCACAGGTCCAAGTGCCACATGTGGATGGCAGGTCTCTACATCTGACAAGCACACAGGGTTAAGTGCAGGTGAGTCAAGAAGCACACACACTGAGCTCCGATGGCTCTCTGGAGAACATAACAGGTTTCTTCTGGCAACTGGGAAACTTGGCTACAGCCCTGAAAGATCTATTTCCCTTTCTAGTTCCACTAAAATTCTTTTTAAATTTGTTGCAGAACATCTCACAGATCCTCCAGCATACAAAACTTTTATCAAAGACTTCTCAGCTCCACTCCACAGACAATCACCTGTTTCCCCTTTTGGAGTACTGAATAGATGCAAATATATTTTGGCACTCAAGCATAACACATTGAAAGGCAACTAAGTGTGAATTTCCCAGATGCAGTCGCTGCAGCACCTCTAAAACGAGTGATGAGTGTCCAATGGCTCTGACAAACCAATGCACTGATATGAAAGGAAAAAATATGAATTCCATTTAATAACCATTAGCTGCAAAGTATCTATTGCAAAGAAAAAAACAATTAAAATTAGAGACTAGCTGCTAGTAACTATAGGACAAATGTTAAAATATCTTTTGAACTACCACAGTTTTGAGTGTTGTGCCATTTCATCTTAAATATATAAAAAATAAAAATCGAGACTCTACCAACAAGAGCTCAAAATCCACAGGCTAGACATCAGAGATGAAAATCACACTTTTTCCCCCTTTAGCAACTGCCTGTGCTTCCCATGGGATCATTCTATGAAATTACAGTATGAAATTATGGGACTGAGAACTAAGTGTTGATGAGCCCACTGAAGGCATGGTTGATGCAGTGCTTCAAATCCTATTCACTCAAAAAAGAGAATGAGAAAGTTTCTTGTGCCAGCGTTTAGGTGACATATTATACACACCATCACAACTAATGCTCACAAGACAAGCAAATGCCTTTCCCTAAAGTGAAGATGCTGATGGGGAAAACATTACTATAAATTAATGTGGGGAAGTTGTTCATATAATCTGAAGGAAACAGGAAGCTAATTGACATAGGTAAAGAGTGTGCCCATAACAGTGACAATCTGTTAACTTCAGGTAAACCTCCTATTAGCTGGTATTCACTAGTGCGAGATGATTCAGAAAAAGTAGTTCTAATCACTGCATGTGTTTTTAAACAGGACAGCCTAGCACTTTCCAAATTACAAATGAAAAGAGAAATGTCAATACCAACTAGCACCAATAAATCAGAAACTGTCAGGAAAAAAGGTAAACCAGGTACCCAGTCAACTACTGAGTTAGTATGGCCACAAGTCATTGTGACATGAGTTAACATCTGCCTGTGCTCTTGACTCTTGACATCTTTTCTCTCACAAAAGGGGAAATGTTCTTTGGATCTGTTTCAAGAAAGTTCTTTCTGTTAAGCTTTCCATAGATCCAACCAAAGGGCCAGGGAACAGTAGGTCCGTTCTGATGTCTTACAGACAATGGGTCAGGAAAGGTACTGGCCAATAATCACCCCCAGTTAACCAGAAACTAGAGTTAGGACAATAAAAGTGGAAGTGACCAGGATTGCTAGGACTTCATGATTGCCAGCCTGAACTGGATGGCAAAACAGATGAACTAGCATACATCTATTAACAAGAGTTTTAAAGGAATGACACATACATGACAGTATATGAGGAAATGGTCTCTTGTATGTTCTGATGAGGCATTATGACTCAACTTGGCAGCTCCCCATGGACACCAAGACCCATCTCAAGAGGCCTGGCTATCGTCTTAAAATCAGAACATTTGACTTCATAGGAATTAATAAGATGAAGGCAGGAATTTACAGAAATATTACATTTATGTTTTATGAGAAAAGTTGCAATAATTTTGAGCTTTTGTTTTTTTAACAAAAAAACCAAAAACTTTATTTAAGCAGCAGGGACTGACTGAGACACAGAGACAGCAATCTCCCATCTACTGATGCACACCATGGCTGGGACTGGGCCAGGCCAATCTGGAACTCCAGCTGGGTTTCCCACATAGATGGTATAGGTCCAAGCATTTAGGTCATCTTCTCCTTCTCAGGAGCATTAGTACGGAGCTAGATAAGAAATGGAGCAGCTAGAACTTGAACCAGTATTCATACGCGATACTGGTATCACAGTTGTCAGCTTAACCTGCTCACTGATTTCAAGTTTATTTCCAGGATATTTTAATAACCAGGCTGAACCCAAGAAACCACATGGGTGGCAGAGTCCCCAATGAGTTGAATCATCAGGTGCTCCCTCCTAGGGTGAGTAGAATCAGGAAGCTAGACTCACAGGCAGAGCTAGGAGTAAGATCCAGTCACTCTACTACACAATGTGGGCATTCCAAGGGACCTTATAAACACCACCAATCACCCATTCCAAAATATCTTAGAGTATAAAAATATTGCTCTGTTTAATGCCAGAATTCAGTTATTGTGTTTTAATGAACTCAACATACTGTTTCTCCTATTTGGCCTTGGTCTTGGTGATTTCCCTCTCTAATCAATCCAATCTTAAAATACAGTTGGAAATGTGTTGACACTACTGCCTAATTAGAACCCGTTCCTCGTCCTCCAGTAATTAAAATGATTATAAAGTAGCTCCGGATAAGTCCATTTACATGTTTCAGTATGTATTTTCATAACCACAAACAATATATCATTTTATGTTATAAAAATATGGTCCAGCTTCAATAGCCTTCCAACATCTTCACTGAGCGTAAAAAGGGGGGAGTAGAGTAGATCTAGGAAAAAAATTCTGATTCTTATTTTCTGAAGAATTATATGGTTTCCCCTCAATGGGATCTTTCACTGTTCAAGTATGTGTAACAGCAACAATAAAGATGCCACCTTGATTTTCTCATGCAATGCCTTGAAACACAAAGTCATCTTGCATTTCGCTGCCCTAAGACTTGTTAATGACATTGATACTCAGTGCACAGCGTTTTAACACCTTCAAATATAGCAGTTTTATGTCAATTTCATTAACAGTGATACCGAGAAAACTGTTCAGCATCACAGCAGAACACCAGAAGAATTCATCAGATCTGAAAATTGTGGCACCACCATTGTAATAAAACAATTAAGAGCATCCTGCAGGGGAAGACAAGCCCTGCAATTAACCTTCAATGCCAATTAGAATTACTACTTTCTTAGTACAAGTCATATTTCCAATACAGAGATCAGAAATTTAGCCCCTAACCTGAATCACTAACCAGAACAGACATTTTTAAATGGCCTTTCTACTTAATTACAATTTTTAAATCAGAAACCATTTAATCAAATACTGTATGGAAGACAGATTATTTATCAAGCCTCAATCCTTAAGAAAAAAGCACACACACACACTCACAGCTACATAAATAATTCCTTCAAAGTAAATACAAGATCCATAAAAATTTTTTGAAAAGTCAAAAGAGTAGAAGAAAAACCCCGAAGTATAATGTTAACCATCATGCAGCACCCACCTTAAAGTGGTAATGTGCCCCTAAGAAGAATCAGGGATCCTTAGAGAACTTCCCACAAAGTACAAGATAAGCCTAGACTATCATCATGTCATGAAGTACGGAATTGCTACAGAATTACTACAAATCAAAGATACAGAAATTAAAGATACAAAGCAAAGATACAGAAATTAGCTTGATCTGTCCTCTCTGGCAGATCTGGACAACCACCATATCAAAACACATAATGGTTAGAAGCAGACTAAACCCTATTATGAAGCAGCAAGCTCTGCACAACCTCACTGAATTAACGGAATGAATGCTTGAGTAGAAGGTTCTTTTTCATAATAAAAAGCCAACCAACTAATAAACATAGTAGAAATAATGAATTAAGAACACCACCTTTTGGCAACTCTAATAATAATAAGTAATCCAGCAAAGGAAAAAAAAGCAGTGGATAAAAATATGAGAAAGAATGGAACATTTATGATCCTAAAGTACTTTTCCAATATAATTGCTAATTAACACTGCAGGGAAGAGTAGTCTGGCAAGTTCCACCTTCATCAAGTGACCAATATTAGCCTTACAAATCATGGGACCAATAGAAGTCATGCACTAGAACTTGAGAGAAAAAGAGCCTCACTTCCATGGTAGTTCGATCAACCTGCTATCACCAGTCTAATTGTGTGGAAATACTAGGGAGACTCTATAGTTACATATACAAGACATTCTACAACATATAGGAAGAAACTATGCCAGATTGAAAGTGACTAGAAAGATGAGGTCATCAAATGCCAAGTGGGGTTGCACACTGGACACCCTACAAGTACTGATGGTGGTGATACTCAAGTGGGCTCTATGATGCGTCAGGAAGAGTCTTCTAATGTGCATGGCTTCACAGAGCTCGACACAGAAGTACTCGTCACTGTGTAAAGCAAGCACAACTAGACAAGTCAAGCAGGTCAGGATAGTTCTGTTACCCACACTTGCAAGTTTTCTCAAACAGTGAATAAAACCATTCCCAAAGGAAGGCAGAAAACTAAGTCTTCCACATATAACTCTAACCAGTGCTAAAAAGAATGTAAATCACAAAAATAAAATTATTAAGAGGAACCATCATGTACTATATGCAAGGAGTACTTTTAACAAACTCTTCTAACGTCATGTTTCTATAGTAGTAACAACTTTCAAAAAAACCAATTATATACATGTTCATGTATAATTTAACAACACAAAGAGTATTACAAAGCAGTCCTCCAGGAAAACAGAGGAGAAAATAACATGATGAAGTGATCATTAACTTTTTTAGACCCAATAAGCAATGATTCCTCTGCCCACCCCCAACTTTTCTCAAAAATACCTTGGTTTAGGTGCGTGGCCTCTGTGATCTGGACACCATTGACGGAGCACTGAGACCCCTTCAGTGGGGTGAGAGTCACGACGCCCCCAGCATTCTCAAAGATGCAGTGCTCGCTCTCCAAGTCAAGGCCATGGAGAACTAGGGTGGAAACACAAAACAGAAAGACTCTTCCTTTCTGGTATCCACTATGATGATTCCCAAACACACAGTTATGACTTTATTTCACTTTGAATACCCTTCCTTTTCCATGTTCAGTATTGTGACATAAACATTTATGTTTGATGAGAAAACAATTTTAGGAGTTCATAGCATCAACTATTATAAGTGGCATCATTCCTGTATGTTACCTTAAATGATCTGGATTTTTATGAAGACGCAAGTTCTAGAATGTTATGTCCGATTTAGAGAGAAAATAGTTGGGCAAACTTATTTTAACTGAAAGTTATTGAACTGCTCTGTTTGGTGTTGAAATAAAAATTCCTTTACCAATGTCCAAAAGGCCACAGGAAAATGGAAGGGGCAAAGGACTAGGTGAGCCAAGAATGTACCAAGACCTCATATTTTGATACATTCCAAAAAGGGAAACCAACCATGACCTTGACATGACACAGACACTGGGAGGCCCATGTGATGTCTAGGAGGGGCACTGGGAAATCTTTTTCATCATAGTCCCTGCCAATTATAAGATTTCTTAAAATATGCAATTATTAGGGTTTACCTAACTACATATGACTATCATGGGTTATTCTTGTTTAAAGAATGATCAGGCACAAGTAAGAATAGCTATCAAGCCTACACAATTTTACACAAAGTTCTTGGCTGGCTAGTTCCCAGTCTCTCAATGGAACCACATGATAGAACCATTCTGATGACAGAAAACACATACTCTGACCGCTCATCATCATGTATAGCTACGGCAAAGGGCAGCTCATAAAATCAAGCAAGACGTCTATTCAGAAATGGCTGAGCACAGGCACTTCTGTGAATTGGTTTTCAGCCCTCTCAGTCCCACAGTAAATGTTAACACTTATAGAAAAATGTTAAGATTGACTTTGAACTTGGAAAAGCAGGTTCATCAACAGCAAGTTGCAAAACAGCTGAGACGACATGAGGGTTCCACCTGACAACCTACAGCTTGTTCCTCATGCACATATGTCCCATCATCACCTTGACAGACTGCCAGAGGTATGCTCTAGACATCTGCAGGCCTTCAGCAGCACAGGTTCAACCACTGTTAGCTGTGTGCCTCGTGCAGGCTCCTGGGCAACCCAGAGAGTCAAGCCTCCTCATGGATGTCAGCTTCAACTCTCTTACCTCATCTCTGTCACATCTGTAAGCATATTCCTACCAATCATTACCCCACTGTGACAAGTATACTCTCAAAAGGCTTGATGTGGTAGATGATGTCTATAAGGACCCCTAGCCCCATTTCATTCACCAAATTAACTCATCTGTGTTATTCACTTGAATTGTATCCCAAAGTATTTCAAAAAATACATATTTTGACCAATATTTTATTTAATACAGCCTTCACTTTTATATTACTTTAATGTTAGTCAATCAATAGAAGGCTCTTCATTAGTTATGATTTTTACCAAAACATATTTGGTAACAAAAGATAAACGATAAAGATTCTCACCAATATCTTGCTCTGTTGAAGCATCTTCTCTACCGACATATGTCTGACCTTCCTAGGAAGAAAAGCCAAGCAAAACTGATTAGTAACGACCAAGATGGCTTGTTTATCCACTTCCATTTTCTGGCCATGTAGCCTGGTGACTGATGGGTCGAGCACAGCCTGGGGACAGCCACACCTGGTAATCTGGAACGGGACAGCACACCAAGGCTGAATGTGCTGATTCTAGCCCAGCATACATCAGTAATCTGCTCCTAGTGGTCCTGTCCTGGATGCATCTCCCCCTCCTACTAGGTTTCTCCCTCAATATTCATGGCTGTCTGGTTTCTTTTCTTTCTTGCTTTTTATTTTCCACTTGTAGCTCTAAAGAGGGCAGGCCTTTGGCCTAGTAATTAACACAATGAAGATGCCCATGCCCCTATCAAGAATATGGATCTGAGTTCTGGCCCCATTCCTGGTTCCCACCTCCTCTTGATGCAGTCCTGGGATGCAGTGGTGCTGGCTGCATCATGGGAGAACAGGACCGAGTTCCCAGCCCCTTGGCTTCAGCCACCAAACAGAACTGATGCAGGCAGATACAAGTGTTCTCTTTCTGTCTCTCAAAGCTAAATAAATAAATGACTATTCTTTTCCTAAGAAAGAAACATATAAGACCCCTGAAGCCAAGTACCAAACTATTCTAAGTTGCAGATTAGAAAGGGGACAGTATCAAAGCCACAGAGGCAATTGTTGACCAGAAGTCTTCTGTTTCAATGCAAACAGTCTACTCAGAATTGAGCCAAGTAACGTAGGTGAGAGGCACAATTTCTTGTTACTAGCAGCAAAATTGCACTATTTCTAACTGCTTTTAACTTTCTCTCAACCCTCTGCATTTTTGTTTCATACCTCTTGGTAATTCTTAAAAAAAAAAAAACAAAAAAAGCAAACAAATAGCTTGTCATTTAGTCATTTAGCTTGAGAACTCTATAACCATGGGAACTTCAAATGCTACAAGATCTCAATGAACTGTTGACAATCCCCAAAGGGCTCAAGGATTTGTTGTATATTCTTTAATAGTTGTGTTCATGGTCATAAAGTATTATAACAAACTTTTCAAGTGTCTACAGGGAAAACTGGCAACAAAACTAGAATGTTCCACTTAGACAATTTCTACCTTCAAGTGATACAGGATGATTCCAGTGCTCAGAAGATCATCATCAATGCCAATCAAATGTGGGAGTTCAGAATCCAAAACAACTCCAATCCCTTCTTTTCGAAGGGCTAGGGTTTGTTCCTGAAATTAGAACAAAAGGAAAAGGTTATTTCAGGTAAAGAGAAAATTTCACATTAGGTATTCCTCAGTTGCTTAAAATAAGCAACATTTAACTTTTCACCAAAAATTGTAAGAAAAATGGACTTTAAACTTTGAATTTCTTACTTGAATTTGACAGGCTATAGGCACATCAAGCTTGAAATATGCAAGAAGCTCAATATAAATAGTCAAACTTCTTACTTGATTCAAACCTAATCTCAAACTCTACCTTCCTTAGAAAAGTTCTTGGGCCACATAACTATATTGTACAATTTCTTCTTCTTCGGAATTGTTAATTCACTTAGTATGTATAAGTTTCCTCAGTTGTTGGCTCTTCTTTCTAGCTAACTTGTGCATGTTGCTGACTGCAACCACAGAGGTCATGAGTGATGACTCTACTGTCACAGCAAGGGATGTAAAAGATGGGCTGGGGAGAAAGGGTGCAGGTGGTTAACATACCAGCTCTGCAGCATATGCTTCAGGAACAGTTAACACTGTGTATGCAGAGAGAAAGAGAGGAACAGAGTATAGCCATGGTTTTTGAGTTGGGTGGGTAAATACACACAGATGAGTGTGTACATACTTACATACAACTGGCTATATACATTCACAGACATACACAAATGAGTTTGAAGGAGACCTACACATATGTATGTATACATGCACACAAACGATGCACATATACATGTGTGTAAGTATGACATTTAAGAGAGAGGTCAGTTCTGTAGATTTAAATTTGACAAGAAAAGTTAAGAGAATAATTAATATATTTTTAAATTTTAAATAGAAGGGAAGAATGGGAGAACTGCAGGGAATATTTTGGAGGGGTTTTCTCTAGAGGAGCAGAGAAGTTAGTGGTAGCTGAAGGGTGGTACAGGTCCAAGGGCGGTGGTTGGGTATGGGAGACATATGCAGGTGGAAATAGTTGATGCAGGTTGATGAAGCAATACAGCATCATTGAACAAGGTTCCTTTAGTGCAGTGGTAGCTCATGCAAAGGAAAGGGTTGCTGTTGGTAACATGAGCAGTTTAGTTGTAAAGAAAAGCCAACTTTCCTTATACTGATCTGCTTTTCTCCCTGTAGATCGGTACTATTTGATGACCTGTGTACCCCTAAGTCTATTGCCTGCCGCCCTCTGACTAGGATGTAACTCAGTGTCTACCTCCTTTCTAACACGAAGTAGATCCTCAGTTAACAGCGAGCAGATGTACACAAGAAGCTTGGGCAGAGGCAATCCCACCACAAAGAATTAGCAGGACCAGGTATCGTCATGAACCCATCTGGCCCAAGATGAAAGTCCTCTAAAAACAAACTTTGGAGGAAGTCTGAGGTGGAAAGTAGGCAAATTCTAGTAGAGTGAAGGTAAAAATGTGTCTTGAGGTGGAGCTGTGTGGAGTGCAGAGTCACATTCAAGTGCAGGATCTGGCATTCTGTGATTGCAGGTTATTGGGAACTGTAGGGGTGTAAGTTTCAAGCTAATTAATAACTGGGGCTCCTGGTCAGAGCGAGAGCTCCTCACCTGTCTTTGCGATGACCAAGACTCTGCCCTGTACCTCCGACACCCAGAGCCACCCAAAGTGCCAATGCTATACTTCACATTCCTGCAATGAGCAAAAGTATTTTCCAACAATTCCAGGAAATACATCATTCCATAGATGGAGGAATCAGAACTTCTCAAGCTTGCGTTAACACCATCAACGCAAAACTCAAATCTTGCAGACAAAAGAACTCTACAGACGTTCTGGGGTTGGATAATGGAGATAGAAATCCCCTGGGCCCCTGTCTCTGTAGATATGAAGATTTCAAATGCACATGCTAGATCAGGGGTCACACAGGATGATGGAATGAAGGGAGAGAAAAAAAAGGCTTAAAAAAAACACACACACACATAAAAATTACCACTTGAAAGAAAGCAATTTAATTTAACAACCATTAAATGGATACGCAGAGAAAATGACCAGTGCATAACTTAGATTCAAGAAAAGGAAATGAAGCGTATCATTGTTCTTCAATTACTCCTCTTATCAGCCCAGCTCTCATTCCATGCCTGGGAAGCTGGGGCTTTGAGGTCGGGGGCGTCAGTAACCTTGATTTACTTTAACAAGGGCCTGGCAAATCTCAGCAGCAGTGAACATTCTCCTAAAACAAGCCTTCCTCCTTCACTCAGAGAAAGGTGAAATTCATGCTTCTGCTCGGCCCATGGAATTAGACAAGAAGTGGGAATTAATGTGTTCCCCTTTTTTTTGTAAAAAAGATATATATATGTATTGCAGTGGAGAATTGAATCACACAACTCTTTCATAAAACAATGCCTCCCTGCAATTCTGGTTGCTCTAGGCTGTCAGTACTGCATGCCAGGTACGCAGCCCCGTGACCACGAACGGGTCCCGGCTCAGGCCTACATGAACATGTGAGAAGGGACTGTTCGCCAAGGCCCAAAGGACAATGAACCTCTCACAAGCAAAAGAACAAGCAATATTTTAAACCTCAATGGCTTCTACTTAAGACCACAGAAATTACTTTGGACTACAGTCAAGGTCTGTTTAATACTCTCCTTCTTCTTCCTTCTTTTTTAATCACTGCAAAAACACTGCTTTTTTTCCTTCCTTGAAGTATATCTTGGACTTTGAACAACATGGGAAACTCTTAACTTCAAAGATGCTAGGTCAAAAGCATTACTTGTTGTCATCCATCCTTAAAACAAATACATTCATTCACATGCACAACACACACGCGCACACTCACACACACACACACACCCTTCCATATATACAATGAGTAAAATCTGAATTAAGAGGTTCTCCAGGATTTGGGGGAGGGGAGGGAAGACAAATGCATGATGAATGCTGCCCTAAAGCTCCATGACATTCAAGCTGCATTCAAGTGTATGATATTATAAAAGTGTCACCTCATAAAACTGAAAATGAGGGCTTAAATCACCGCTCAAGTGAAAAAGTAATTTCAGACAAAAAATATCTATCATGTATAAAATATTTATTGAGTGGCATCTACTGTTATACATAATTTATGAAACACCTCTTGGATAAGATGGAATGCTTAACATAGCAGAGTTGGCCACCTCCCCACAACTACAGGCACATGGGTTCCTAAAGTAAGGAAGAGGTAAAATATGTACTTGTTTTGCATTGAACAAAGTGCTTGACAACTAAGTATATTTAAACAAAAAGGAAGGTGTAGATTGATGGCAAGATAAAAAAGGTAGTACCAAGTTTTTTTTGGATTTTTTGGCTAGTTAGTGAGGCAGAGAAATACACACACACACACACACACACACACACACGGAGGGAGGGAGGGAGGCAAAGGAAGAGGAAAAGGCAGGAGAGAAAAAGCCTATTCTACTATTCACATGGGCCAGGGCTGGGCCGAGACTGAAACCAGGAGCCAGAAACACAATCCAGGTCTCCCACACAGAGGGCAGGAACGTAACCACTTGAGCCACCGGGATCCAGGGCCTGCACTATGGCAAGTTGCCCAGTGAATGAGCTGGGGACCAAACTGAGGAAACAGGCATCTTGACCAGCATCTTAACTACCAGGCCTGCACTGTTAGCTTATTTTAAACATTACATTCATTACTTTTACAAAGAATATTCTTCAACTTCCAGATACCTTTCTAAGCTAAACATCATTGAATTTAAAATGTGTGTTCAGTGTTGGCACTGTCAGACAAATCGATCCACTGGGCCCATTCCAGAGTCCAGAGGAGATTCAGGGTGGCCAGGGCTCTTTCGAAGTCCTACACACCCATCACTGATTATCGAGCCGGGGGATGTCTGAGGTCTCTTCACCACTGTTGCAGCCTCAGGAGCCAGCACCGTGCCTTAAGAAACCCCACATCTTTCCTCAACAAATTAATAAGGCAATGCAAAAACTTACTAACAGCAACAGTTTCCCCTTTCTGGGAAGCCTAAGTGGGAGCTAGTTATTTCCTGGAGGGAATTGGTGGGGAAGGAGGTAGAGGAGGCAAAAAGAAAAAAAAAAAGGAAAACAAAAACTTTGGCAATGTGTGTGCCACATTAAAGCAAGAGCCTTCTGAGAGAAATCTGATTCTTTACGCTGAGTCTTTTAAGTGAACGTAGCTTCACTGCTCATAACCATTCGCTCAGTAAGTGCTGGTCAGTTGGTACAGCTGGGAAGTTTTTAAGTGCAATTTTCTTTTTTCTTATTACTCAAAAAAGAGTTCTCAGGGTCTCTGTGTAAATATATGCCACGGAGAATTATATATATGTTACCTATATATAGATACACATATATGTACATATACACATATATAGATACATCTAATGTATGTTAGCTATATACACACATATATGACTAATTATATACTAATTATATGTCCAATATTGATACAATATATAAATAATACATCCTCATTGAGATTATGTTATACATTCTATATTATATATATAATTTATTTGATAAATTATATTATATATTAGCTACTGAAATTTTGAAGCTGACTCACATTATAAAACACATGTAATTTTTGGAATCCCAAGAAGAAGTATCTGGCAGAAGTGTGTGTGGTGGGGAGCCATCCTGCGGGATTAGATAACAGGACCAGTGGGACTGTGACCATAAGGATAAATACAGGAATTGGGGCATTCACAAGACTTCCTTATTAAAAAAAAGTAAAATTATCTTCTAACAAAGCTTTTTTTTGTTTAAGCTTTAAAATGTGTAGGTAATTTCATTTAAATTTAACCATCAGAGGGCCAAACACAGTGGCTCAATTGGCTAATCCTCCCCTTAGAAGCACCAGGATCCGATATGGGTGCCATTTTGTGACCTGGCTGCCCACTTGCCATCCAGCTCCTTGCTTATGGCCTGGGGAGGCAGCAGAGGATGGCCCAAAGCCTTGGGACCCTGCAACCACGTGGGAGACCTGGAAGGAGCTCCTGGCTCCTTGCTTTGGATCAACTCAGCTCCAGCTGTTGAGGTTGTGGCCACCTGGGTAGTAAA